TACATTTGGTTGGGTTAAACTCTAACAACCATTTGTTCGACCATTCCTTCAGCTTGTCTAGGTCTTCTTGAAGCCTCAAACAGTCCAATTCTGTTTTAATCCTTCTCATAATTTTAGCATCGTCCGCAAACATTGAGAGAAATGAATCGATACCCTCCGGGAGATCATTTACATATATCAGAAACAAGATAGGACCGAGTACAGAGCCCTGTGGGACTCCACTGGTGACTTCACGCCAATCGGAGGTCTCACCCCTCACCGTAACTCTCTGCTTCCTATTGCTTAGATACTCCCTTATACACTGGAGCACCTTACCAGCTACACCTGCCTGTCTCTCCAGCTTATGTACCAGCCTCTTATGCGGTACTGTGTCAAAGGCTTTCCGACAATCCAAGAAAATGCAGTCCGCCCAGCCCTCTCTTTCTTGCTTAATCTGTGTCACCTGATCGTAGAATTCTATCAAGCCTGTAAGGCAAGATTTACCCTCCCTGAATCCATGTTGGCGATTTGTCACGAAGTCCCTTCTCTCCAGATGTGTTACCAGGTTTTTTCTCACGATCTTCTCCATCACCTTGTATGGTATACAAGTCAAGGACACTGGCCTGTAGTTCAGTGCCTCTTGTCTGTCGCCCTTTTTGTATATTGGGACCACATTCGCCGTCTTCCATATTTCTGGTAGGTCTCCCGTCTCTAGTGACTTACTATACACTATGGAGAGTGGCAGGCAAAGTGCCTCTGCACACTCTTTCAGTACCCATGGTGAGATCCCATCTGGACCAACAGCCTTTCTAACATCCAGATCCAGCAGGTGTCTCTTGACCTCCTCTCTCGTAATTTCGAACTCCTCCAAGGCCGCCTGGTTTACCTCCCTTTCTCCTAACAGTGACCTCACCCTGTTCTATTGTGAAGACCTCCTGGAACCTCTTGTTGAGTTCCTCACACACCTCTCTGTCATTCTCTGTATACCTGTCCTCGCCTGTTCTAAGTTTCAATACCTGTTCTTTCACTGTTGTTTTCCTTCTGATGTGACTGTGGAGTAGCTTTGGTTCGGTCTTGGCTTTGTTTGCTATATCATTTTCAAAATTTTCTCTGCTTCTCTTCTCACCCTGACGTACTCATTCCTGGTTCTCTGGTATCTCTCTCTGCTTTCTGGTGTTCTGTTATTCCGGAAGTTCCTCCACGCATTTTTGTTCAGTTTCTTCGCTTCCATACATGCCCTATTATACCATGGATTCTTCTGTTGCTTCTCGGATTTTTCCCTTTGGGCCGGGATGAACCTGTTTACTGCCTCCTGACACTTTTGGGTAACATAGTCCATCATACCCTGTACAGACTTGTCTCCGAGGTCTGTGTCCCAAGGTATTTCACTTAGGAAACTTCTCATCTGTTCATAATTCCCCTTTCGGTATGCCAGCCTTTTGATTCCTAGTTCTTTTTGGGGGGAGATAAGTCCTAGCTCTACCAGGTACTCAAAATTCAATACACTGTGGTCACTCATTCCCAAGGGCGCTTCCATCTTAACTTCCCTTATATCCCATTCATTTAGGGTAAATATCAAATCAAGCATTGCTGGTTCATCTTCTCCTCTCATTCTTGTTGGTTCTTTGGTGTGCTGGCTTAGAAAGTTTCTTGTTGCCACGTCCAGCAGCTTAGCTCTCCATGTTTCTGGTCCTCCATGCGGGTCTCTGTTCTTCCAATCTATCTTCCCATGGTTGAAGTCTCCCATAATTAGTAGTCCAGATCCATTCCTGCTAGCAACAGAAGCTGCTCTTTCTATTATGTTAATGGTGGCCATGTTGTTTCTATCATATTCCTGTCTAGGTCTTCTGTCATTTGGTGGTGGATTATATATGACTACGACTATAATTTTTTTCCCTCCATTTGTTACAGTACCTGCTATGTAGTCACTGAAACCTTCACAGCCCTGAATATCCATCTCCTCAAAATCCCAGCCTTGTCTTACCAGCAGAGCTACACCACCCCCACCTCTTCCTTCCCTCTCTTTCCTCATAACATAATAGTCCTGTGGGAACACTGCATTTGTTATCGTTTTCGTGATCTTTGTTTCTGTGAGGGCTATTATGTCTGGGTTTTCCTCTAGTACCAGTTCTCCAAGCTCATTTGCTTTATTTGTAATTCCATCTATGTTTGTGTACATCGCTTTGAGGCTCACTTTCTTCTGTCCCTTCTCAAATCGCCTCCTTGGTGAGTGTTCTGCTGGTGGGGGAGGCTGTTCCATGGGTGTGAGGACCTGTGAGGTGGATAACAGGGTCTCAGAGGATACTGGGATGAGGTGCGGGGAATCCAGGGAAGGGGGATGTGTGTGTGTGTGTGTGCGCGCGCATCTAGTTGCATTCACCTAGTTGAACTTGCGTTTTGAGCTTTGCTCTTTCGGCCCGCCTCTCAACTATCAATCAACTGTTACTAACTACAATTTTTTTGGTATCCCCCCCTCCCACAAACACACAGGAAGCAGCTCCGTAGCAGCTGTGTAACTCCCAGGTACTGTTTACTGCTAGGTAACAGGGGCATTAAGGGTGACGAAACCTTGCCCATTTGTATCTGCCTGGTCCGGGAATCGAACCCGGGCCACAGAATTACAGAGAGTCCTGGGCGCTGTCCACTCAGGTACCAGTGTGTGTGTGTGTGTACTCACCTATTTGCGCTTGCGGGGGTTGAGCTTTGGCTCTTTGGTCCCGTCTCTCAACTGTCAATCAACTGGTGTACAGGTTCCTGAGCCTACTGGGCTCTATCATATCTACATTTGAAACTGTGTATGGAGTCAGCCTCCACCACATCACTGCCTAATGTATTCCATCCGTTAACTACTCTGACACTGAAAAAGTTCCTTCTAACGTCTCTGTGGCTCATGTGGGTACTCAGTTTCCACCTGTGTCCCCTTGTTCGCGTCCCACAAGTGTTGAATAGTTCATCCTTGTTTACTCGGTCGATTCCTCTGAGGATTTTGTAGGTTGTGATCATGTCTCCCCTTACTCTTCTGTCTTCCAGTGTCGTAAGGTGCATTTCCCGCAGCCTTTCCTCGTAACTCATGCCTCTTAGTTCTGGGACTAGTCTAGTGGCATACCTTTGGACTTTTTCCAGCTTCGTCTTGTGCTTGACAAGGTACGGGCTCCATGCTGGGGCCGCATACTCCAGGATTGGTCTTACATATGTGGTGTACAAGATTCTGAATGATTCCTTACACAGGTTCCTGAACGCTGTTCTAATGTTAGCCAGCCTCGCATATGCCGCAGACGTTATTACACACACACACCTGTGTGTGTGTGTGTGTGTGTGTGTAATTACCTAAATGTAATTACCTAAGTGTAGTTACAGGATGAGAGCTAGGCTCGTGGTGTCCCGTCTTCCCAGTACTCTTTGTCGCATAACACTCTGAACCTACTGACGGTTTTGGCCTCCACCACCTTCTCACTTTATTAACTTGTTCCAACCGTCTACCACTCTGCTAAAGAAAACTTTCTAATATTTTTTCGGCCCCTTTGTTTCCTTAGCTTGAAGCTGTGTCGCCTTGTTCGTAAAGTCGCTGGTTTCAGGAATTCCTCTTTGTCAATTTGGTCGATTCCTGTTAGTATTTTGTAAGTGGTGATCATATCTCCTCTTTTTCTTCTGTCTTCTAGTTCGGGCATGTTTAACGCCTCTAGTCTCTCCTCGTAACTCTTGTGCTTTCAGTTCCAGAAGCCATTTTGTGGCATGCCGTTGCACCTTTTCCAGTTGATGTGCTTCTTGAGATATGAGCTAAAAAAAATCAGTAGGAGCCTTGAGGGGGATACGAACCTATGCGCTGGGTACTCCCAGGCACGCTCTAGACCAGTACACCACGACGGGGCAGCCCATCCTCAGAATAAACAGTCTGCTTTAATACTAAATGTAATAAGTACAATCCTGACTCTCGGCATAGTACATAAATACACTAATTCGCCAGCATCGCACCAAAATATTGAGAATATTAGAGTTTACCTGAAAAGCTGTGTAGAAAACCACGACCTAACCTAACCTTGAGAGTGTAGGAGGACAAGCATGTAAATAGCATTTATTGCTTCTTAATTACAATTAGTACTTAATCTATAGTTATATTGATATTACAATTTTATAAAACTAATAAAACAAAACTAATCTTTCAATAAATTATAAAATAACTCAGGATAATTTTAAATTTTGTATAAAATCTCTACTGTTTAATAAAACTGAAAAAGAAGTTTTTTATATTTAAAACTTGCATAACATTTAACACAAAAATTTAAACCTAAAAATTTTAAGTATATTATCAGAATACGAGGAGAATATAACAACACAATTAAGTGTATATATGTACTAGACAAACAGTCCAGAACGTACATATTACATTTAGTACTAAAGCATACTGTCTATTCGGAGGATGGGTTGGACGAGGTCAATGTCGCGGTGCAGTGACCCCGAAAGGCGGAGTCCAAGAGCTAATAGCTCGACTCTGCAGACACAAATAAACACATCCACAGGATAATTAGGTGACCCTACTGTGGCCCAGCCTGACATAGTCCCAAATAGTCTGAAGTATTACTCCCGCTCCCACAGCCAATGGTCACGCGTTTTCTAAATAAATAAATCTCTTTGTTGGGCGTCCCTCACGCCATTTTCTGCCGGGACAATTACAGCACAAACTACGCCATTACTGTGGCCAGAGGACTTGATTAGTGTCACGTGATCGTTATGGAGGTCCTGGTGGCGTGCTGCTCAACTACGCTGGTTGACCTCACGACCTGATTGGCTGTAATTTCTGACCTGTCCAATCATGCTTCGTTTTTTTAACACCACAAGGTCACACATGTGACTTTATACACCTGTGTGTGATGTCACATGTTGCAACACTTGTGTGTGTTCTTGTGTATGCAAACATCGCGGTGCCAAACATCGCGGTGTCAAACATCGCGGTGTCAAACATCGCGGTGTCAAACATCGCGGTGTCAAACATCGCGGTGTCAAACATCGCGGTGTCAAACATCATGGTGTCAAACATCGCGGTGTCAAACATCGCGGTGCCAAACATCGCGGTGCCAAACATCGCGGTGTCAAACATCGCGGTGCCAAACATCGCGGTGCCAAACATCACGGTGCTAAACATCGCGGTGCCAAACATCACGGTGCCAAACATCACGGTGCCAAACATGACGGTGCTAAACATCACGGTGCAAAACATCACGGTGCTAAACATCATGGTGTCATACATCACGGTGTCAAACATCACGGTGCCAAACATCACGGTGTCAAACATCACGGTGCTAAACATCACGGTGTCATACATCACGATGCCAAACACCGCGGTGCTAAACATCACGGTGCCAAACATCACGGTGCAAAACATCACGGTGCTAAACATCACGGTGTCAAACATCACGGTGCCAAACATCGCGGTGCTAAACATCGCGGTGCCAAACATTACGGTGCCAAACATCACGGTGCTAAACATCACGGTGCAAAACATCACGGTGCTAAACATCATGGTGTCATACATCACGGTGTCAAACATCACGGTGCCAAACATCACGGTGCCAAACATCGCGGTGTAAAACATCGCGGTGCCAAACATCGCGGTGCCAAACATCACGGTGCCAAACATCACGGTGCCAAACATCACGGTGCTAAACATCACGGTGCCAAACATCACGGTGCCAAACATCACGGTGCCAAACATCACGGTGCCAAACATCACGGTGCTAAACATCACGGTGCCAAACATCATGCAAACATCACGGTGCAAACATCACGGTGCCAAACATCACGGTGCTAAACATCATCACGGTGCTCATCACGGTGCTATCATCGGTGTCAAACATCACGGTGCCAAACATCACGGTGCCAAACATCACGGTGCTAAACATCACGGTGCCAAACATCACGGTGCCAAACATCGCGGTGCTAAACATCACGGTGCCAAACATCACGGTGCAAAACATCACGGTGCTAAACATCACGGTGCCAAACATCACGGTGCCAAACATCACGGTGCCAAACATCACGGTGCTAAACATCACGGTGCCAAACATCACGGTGCTAAACATCACGGTGCAAAACATCACGGTGCTAAACATCATGGTGTCATACATCACGGTGTCAAACATCACGGTGCCAAACATCACGGTGCCAAACATCACGGTGCCAAACATCACGGTGCCAAACATCACGGTGCCAAACATCGCGGTGCTAAACATCACGGTGCCAAACATCACGGTGCCAAACATCACGGTGCCAAACATCACGGTGCAAAACATCACGGTGCTAAACATCATGGTGCTAAACATCACGGTGTCAAACATCCCGGTGCCAAACATCGCGGTGCTAAACATCATGGTGCCAAACATTACGGTGCCAAACATCACGGTGCCAAACATCACGGTGCTAAACATCACGGTGCCAAACATCGCGGTGCTAAACATCACGGTGCAAAACATCGCGGTGCTAAACATCATGGTGTCAAACATCGCGGTGTCAAACATCACGGTGTCAAACATCGCGGTGCTAAACATCACGGTGCCAAACATCGCGGTGCCAAACATCGCGGTGCCAAACATCGCGGTGCCAAACATCGCGGTGCCAAACATCGCGGTGCTAAACATCACGGTGCCAAACATCACGGTGCTAAACATCACGGTGCCAAACATCACGGTGCCAAACATCACGGTGCTAAACATCACGGTGCCAAACATGACGGTGCCAAACATCACGGTGCCAAACATGACGGTGCTAAACATCACGGTGCAAAACATCACGGTGCTAAACATCATGGTGTCATACATCACGGTGTCAAACATCACGGTGCCAAACATCACGGTGCCAAACATCGCGGTGCAAAACATCACGGTGCTAAACATCACGGTGTCATACATCACGGTGCCAAACATCACGGTGCTAAACATCACGGTGCCAAACATCACGGTGCCAAACATCACGGTGCTAAACATCACGGTGCAAAACATCACGGTGCTAAACATCACGGTGCCAAACATCACGGTGCCAAACATCGCGGTGCCAAACATCACGGTGCCAAACATCACGGTGCCAAACATCACGGTGCCAAACATCACGGTGCTAAACATCACGGTGCTAAACATCACGGTGTCAAACATCACGGTGTCAAACATCGTGGTGCCAAACATCACGGTGTCAAACATCGCGGTGCCAAACATCGCGGTGTCAAACATCACGGTGTCAAACATCACAGTGTCAAACATCACGGTGTCAAACATCGCGGTGTCAAACATCACGGTGCCAAACATCACGGTGTCAAACATCGCGGTGTCAAACATCGCGGTGTCAAACATCGCGGTGCCAAACATCACGGTGCCAAACATCACGGTGCCAAACATCGCGGTGTCAAACATCGCGGTGCCAAACATCGCGGTGCCAAACATCGCGGTGTCAAACATCGCGGTGCCAAACATCGCGGTGCCAAACATCGCGGTGCCAAACATCATGGTGCCAAACATCGCGGTGCCAAACATCGCGGTGCCAAACATCACGGTGCCAAATATTACGGTGCCAAACATCGCATTGTCAAACATCGCGGTGTCAAACATCGCGGTGCCAAACATCGCGGTGTCAAACATCGCGGTGCCAAACATCGCGGTGCCAAACATCGCGGTGCCAAACATCATGGTGCCAAACATCGCGGTGCCAAACATCGCGGTGCTAAACATCGCGGTGCCAAACATCGCGGTGCCAAACATCGCGGTGTCAAACATCGCGGTGCCAAACATCGCGGTGTCAAACATCGCGGTGCCAAACATCATGGTGCCAAACATCGCGGTGCCAAACATCGCGGTGCCAAACATCGCGGTGCCAAACATCGCGGTGCCAAACATCACGGTGTCAAACATCGCGGTGTCAAACATCACATTGTCAAACATCACGGTGTCAAACATCACGGTGTCAAACATCGCGGTGCCAAACATCACAGTGTCAAACATTGCGGTGCCAAACATCGCGGTGTCAAACATCACGGTGCCAAACATCACGGTGTCAAACATCGCGGTGTCAAACATCACAGTGTCAAACATCACGGTGTCAAACATCGCGGTGTCAAACATCACGGTGTCAAACATCACAGTGCCAAACATCACGGTGTCAAACATCACGGTGTCAAACATCACGGTGTCAAACATCGCAGTGCCAAACATCACGGTGCCAAACATCACGGTGCCAAACATCACGGTGCCAAACATCACGGTGCCAAACATCACGGTGCCAAACATCGCGGTGCCAAACATCGCGGTGTCAAACATCGCGGTGCCAAACATCGCGGTGCCAAACATCGCGGTGCCAAACATCATGGTGCCAAACATCGCGGTGCCAAACATCGCGGTGCTAAACATCGCGGTGCCAAACATCGAGGTGCCAAACATCGCGGTGCTAAACATCGCGGTGCCAAACATCACGGTGTCAAACATCACGGTGCCAAACATCGCGGTGTCAAACATCGCGGTGCCAAACATCGTGGTGCCAAACATCGCGGTGCCAAACATCACGGTGCCAAACATCGCGGTGTCAAACATCGCGGTGTCAAACATCGCGGTGTCAAACATCACAGTGTCAAACATCACGGTGTCAAACATCGCGGTGCCAAACATCGCGGTGTCAAACATCACGGTGCCAAACATCACGGTGTCAAACATCGCGGTGTCAAACATCACAGTGTCAAACATCACGGTGTCAAACATCACGGTGTCAAACATCACGGTGCCAAACATCACGGTGTCAAACATCGCGGTGCCAAACATCACAGTGTCAAACATTGCGGTGCCAAACATCGCGGTGTCAAACATCACGGTGCCAAACATCACGGTGTCAAACATCGCGGTGTCAAACATCACAGTGTCAAACATCACGGTGTCAAACATCGCGGTGTCAAACATCACAGTGTCAAACATCACAGTGCCAAACATCACGGTGTCAAACATCACGGTGTCAAACATCGCAGTGCCAAACATCACGGTGCCAAACATCGTGGTGCCAAACATCGTGGTGCCAAACATCACGGTGCCAAACATCACGGTGCCAAACATCACGGTGTCAAACATCGCGGTGTCAAACATCATGGTGTCAAACATCACGGTGTCAAACATCACGGTGCCAAACATCACGGTGCCAAACATCACGGTGCTAAACATCACGGTGCCAAACAACACGGTGCCAAACATCACGGTGCCAAACATCACGGTGCCAAACATCAGTGTCAAACATCACGGTGTCAAACATCGCGGTGCCAAACATCGCGGTGCCAAACATCGCGGTGTCAAACATCACGGTGTCAAACATCGCGGTGTCAAACATCACAGTGTCAAACATCACGGTGTCAAACATCGCGGTGTCAAACATCACGGTGCCAAACATCACGGTGCTAAACATCACGGTGCCAAACAACACGGTGCCAAACATCACGGTGTCAAACATCACGGTGCCAAACATCGTGGTGCCAAACATCACGGTGCCAAACATGACGGTGCCAAACATCGCGGTGCCAAACATCGTGGTGCCAAACATCGTGGTGCCAAACATGACGGTGCCAAACATCGCGGTGCCAAACATCGTGGTGCCAAACATGACGGTGCCAAACATCGCGGTGCTAAACATCACGGTGCCAAACATCACGGTGCCAAACATCACGGTGCCAAACATCACGGTGCCAAACATCGCGGTGCCAAACATCGTGGTGCCAAACATGACGGTGCCAAACATCGCGGTGCTAAACATCACGGTGCCAAACATCACGGTGCCAAACATCACGGTGCCAAACATCGCAGTGCCAAACATGACGGTGCCAAACATCACGGTGCTAAACATCGCAGTGCCAAACATCTCACCTGCCAGCGATGCCATCATGGTTGGTGGCGTGTGTGGCATGAGTGCCACGGCAGGCAGTTGTCCTGCAATATTTCTGCAATTGTGCCATCAGCTGCGGGCGGCGGCACTGTGCCATCGAGCGTGAACCAGTATAGAAGCGAAGAGGAAATAGGTTGTGGCAGTAACTCCCAGGCAACGTGAATCTTTTATATGGGGGGGGGGTGTCTGGGGGAGACCGGGGGGGGGGTTCTGGGGAGAAGTGGGGGTGGTTTCTGGGGGTGAAGGAGTAGTATCAGGGGCAGAGGGGGGTGATATCAGGGGGAGAGAGAGAAAATCATGTTAGGTCCTGGGTGACGGAGTTGGCGGCAACAGTGTACCAGAGCCTTTACATAGTCGCCGGACTTGGGTTCAGGCGTACCGGGGCGGTAAGTGATCTTGTCCCAAACATATGAGTCCACCGAGGAATGAATGATCGCTGATGGGGGGGGGGGGGGGTTGATGTTCTTGAGAATGTCACAATCAGCACAAAGCTGTTGATTCTTGAGCGTCTTGTGTTATGACTGCCAAATGCTTGTTGTCCACGAGGTATGGCCAAGTGCGGCACTTTGAGAATATTGACCTTATGAATAACAGGAGGACCACAGACCTCTCTCCAGTGGTGAAGGTTCTGATCGTACTTGGAGGGGGTTCCGGGGGTTCTTGTGCTCCTCGACCCAAAGCTCTGGCCAGGCTCGACTTATGATAACTTGGTCCAACAGGCTGTTGCTTGCAGCGGCCCGCAGGCCCACACATACACTTCAATCCGGTCGGTCCGGCACTTCTTGCAGTAACCAATCTTAATGCCTTGTTCTGAAGACATCCAACTTTGTTCCTGTAATATTTCTAATGCTTGCTGGGAGGGTGTTGAACAACCGTGGACCTCTGATGTTCAGACTGTTCTCTGAGTGTTCCTTTGGCACCTCTGCTCCCTGAGTCATAAATACTCATACTCCGCCCAAGTAAAACAGAAACAAGCAACACTTAGTGGGCCAGCCAAAGGCTTAGGGCCCGCTCAGAAATATCCCTGAAAAAAAAGAAACTCTACTCCTCACTGGTTCTATTCTGTATTTCCTTCCGTATCTTTTGCTCCAGTATGTTGTCATTCTACTGTGCCAGCTAGGAAAATGTCCTTTAAGAATCGTCCATGTAAATAATATCGATATCTCTCTTGTTTCGATTCCAGAGAGTACATTTTGAGAGCTTAGAGACGGTCCCAATTATTTAAGTAAATTATCGCGTCTATGCGTGCCGTATATGTTCTCTGTATTCTCTCTAGTTCAACAATCTCTCCCGCTCTGAAGGGGTCAGTGAGTACTGAGCAATACTCAAGACGGGACAACACCAGTGATGTAAAAAGTATTAACATTACTGTGGAGTCTCTGGATGTGAACGTTCTCATAATCCATCATTCTCCTGGCCGCCGCCGCCGCTATATTTGCTCGGTTATGTTCACTAAATGTCAGGTCGTCAGACATCATAATTCTCAGATCTTGTTCACGTTGCTTTCCTTCTATGAGTAAATGTGATTGTGTCGTGTATCTTGTATGCCGATTACATTCCTTGTTTCCACCGTACCTAAGTACCTGGAACTTATCACTGTTGAACATCATGTTAATTTCCGCTGGCCAGTCGAACACACTATTAATATCGGCTAGTAGTTTTCAATACCTTCTACACAGGTAATTTGCATGCTGATTTTTGAACCACATGCAAAGAATGTAACGATGTAATCAAGATGTAACAGTCACAGAAAGGAGCGGAGGTTTCCACACTGCAGTCTACACTAAGGAAACAAACATAGGAATGTGCCTCAATGCCAACAGTGACTGCCCAGACAGGTACAAGAGGAGTGTTGTCAACGGTTATGTCGACCGTGCTCTCAGCCACAGCTCAGGATGGAAGCAAGTCGATGAAGAAATCTGTAGGGTAAGGCAGGTCCTAGTCAACAATGGCTTCTCCAATGGTTTTGTTGAAGACATCATAAAAACAAAGGTGAAACGCCATGCAACCTCTGAAGAGTCGACTAACACAACACTTGTACCTCCTATTAGACTGTTTTACAGGAACTTCTTTTCGACGGCTCATAAAACAGAGGAAAGTGTCCTGAAAGACATTATTAATAGAAACGTTATCCCTACAGACAAAAGTCAGAAAATACAATTGACAATCTACTACAAAAACAAAAAAACGGCCAACCTACTCATGAAAAACTCCCCAGACACCAAACAGAACGCCCTGAAGGAAACCAACGTCGTCTATGCCTTCACATGCCCACTTAGGGACTGTAAGCCCCAAAGAACTCAGTATATAGGCAAGACAACAACGTCTATTTCTAGGCGATTAACTATTCACAAACAACAGGACTCCATCAAGGAACATATAATCTCTTCTCACAACCAGAGCATCACCAGAGACATCTTAACAAGCAACACAGAAATCATCGATAAATACAGCGATAGCAGGCGGCTTGACATCTGCGACGCACTAAACATCAAAAAGTCAACACCAGCAATCAACAGCCAATTAATGTGCAACTATATTCTACCCACTGCAAGACCGCGAACCAATATGGAAGCAGCAAGAGGAAGTATGGGCCAATAGGCCTTCTACAGTTACTTCCATTCTTAAGTTCTCGTCCCATTGTTTCGTGTTCTGTCTTATGTTTCACCTCATCCTAAACTTTTGTGCCATATCACCTTAGCCAAAAACGAATATAAGTATGAATGTATTTTGTGTGTAAATTAAGTCTTTGAAAATGTTACAAGGAATTACGAAACGCGTTCAGGCGTCAGACTAGGAATAAAAAGAATGTATTTTGGAGAGTTACTTTATCAATTACCCTCAACAGTGAGGAAGAACGTAAGAAATATTGAGAAAATTCGTGTTAGAATTATTAATCTTACCCTTTCGCTCATATTCAACAACATATTATATATATATATATATATATATATATATATATATATATATATATATATATATATATATATATATATATATGTCGTACCTAGTAGCCAGAACGCACTTCTCAGCCTACTATGCAAGGCCCGATTTGCCTAATAAGCCAAGTTTTCCTGAATTATTATATTTTCTCTAATTTTTTTTCTTATGAAATGATTAAGCTACCCATTTCATTATGTATGAGGTAAATTTTTTTATTGGAGTTAAAATTAACGTAGATATGTGACCGAACCTAACCAACCCTACCTAACCTAACCTAACCTATCTTTATAGGTTAGGTTAGGTAGCTGAAAAAGTTAGGTTAGGTAGCTGAAAAAGTTAGGTTAGGTAGGTTAGGTAGTTGAAAAAACATTAATTCATGAAAATTTGGCTTAGTAGGCAAATCGGGCCTTGCATAGTAGGCTGAGAAGTGCGTTATGGCTACTAGATACGACATACATATATATTATATATATATATATATATTATATATATATACATTATATATATATATATATATACATATACATATATATATATATATATATATATATATATATATATATATATATATATAAATATATATATATATATTCTATTTCACACATAGAAGCGCACATGTACACACACAACCGGCCCAGAAACCGGGAAACGTCGGATTTCAACACCAGAGGACCGAACCAGCCCTCATTTTACGCTAAATTACTTCTGAACCATTCAAGGTGAGGCAAGAAGGTGCTAAACTCCCCCCCCCCCTCCACGTCCCTACACCTTCACCTTTGTTAG